CACACACACACACACACACACACACACACACACACACACACACACACACACACACTCTCACTCCAGCTGCAGTTAGTTTCAGCTGCTCAGCACAGAAAGCAAACAACAGTAGTTCAAAATTTACCTGAATTTGTTAGATTTGATTAAGACAACAATTACCCCAAGGGAGACAACATATTGACCACTCACGGAGGCCATGATAAGGCTTCAGGAAATACCTTTTTAACATTACCTCTTTGCACGTACCTCCTATCTCTCACAGTCTAATGACACTTTCAAGCCTGCCCCATTTCTTTCCCTGTTGTGTCTAACAATAGAAATACAACAGCTTTTCTCAAAAACTGTCAGACGGCCGCCCTATACCAGAGACAGAACTACGTAAAGCTCTCACCCTTTGGACCAGGCGACTCAGAGATCTAGAGGTTAAGCCAATTCCCAGAAAACTGAATTCTTTTGACCGTCCTAAACCCCAAAACCACGAGCGCGCCTCGCTTTAAAAACGGTCAGCTGATCGGTCGCGGTTTTTTTTTGCGCTCGTGACGTGAACACACAGGGAAATGCTGCGAAGTGCTTTTAGAACTATAATAAACGTAATCCTCGGTGGAAAATAGTCCAGGAAACGTGCGTTCCCGGGAGGTGTTCACCTGCAGCTGAGTAAAACTGGACCCCCCCCCACACACACACACACACACACACACACACCTGCAGAGAGAGAAAAAAAGGCAGTAATTATTGATAAGGTAACCATGCTTTGGCTTCACCTGTCACGTTTTCTTTTAAAAAAAGAAAAAGTAAATTGCAAAGCTGTCGCATCGGTGCATCGTGATTAAAAGCAAAGYTGCGTGTCTWATYTCACACACGTCTTCCTATCTTTGTGAGGACCACACACAGCGCTCAGCCTCACTCTGCGCCGTCTTTTTCCCCAAGTTTGGTGAGAGGTGGATATGGAGGGTCGCAAAAAATAGCTCTGGACTTGATCTGGCCTTATTTAAATAAAAATGACTACATGCCGTGAAATTCTTAGAGGGGCGGACCATCTCATTGGGGGGTGGGGGGGGTGTATAATGGTAGGGGAAACACTGGGTTCTTTTTTCCAGTGTGGAGTCACGGTCCGATTCCAGACCATCAGCTCCTCAATCACTCCTCTTTATTTTACCTAGACAGAAACACGAGATCCAAGAACAAAGAGTTCTCTGTGAAAGGTCAATCAGGATTTATTGCAACTTGCAAGACACACATCATGTCACACAGGCAGTGGTACAGAATGTGTAATAATAATAATAATAATAATAATGATGATGATGCATTAGTTTTATATAGCGCTTTTTGAGACCCTCAAAGACGCTTTACAATTTTTCATGCATCATTCATTCACACTCACATTCACACACTGATGGCAGTAAGCTACATTGTAGCCACAGCTGCCCTGGGGCAGACTGACAGAGGCGGGGCTGCCATGCTGCGCCACCGGCCCCTCTGACTACCATCAGTAGGCAAGGTGGGTGAAGTGTCTTGCCCAAGGACACAACGGCATGTAGGCATGGCGGGGAGTCGAACCTGTGACTTGCGGGTCCCAAAGCCGGCTGCACCCCAAGGCACCGAGGCAGTTTCAAATACATGCATTTATATAGAATATTATCAAGACAGACAATAAACAACTCTCTTGGTGCTAAAACTGGGCCAAGGAGAGAATGACGTAGGRTGAACAGCAACAAGAATGATTATTTTGTCTTGATCTTAAAACACTCYCTGAGAGAAAACAAAAGATGAAGAGTAAAATCATAAAACATGATGACATTTTAAAGAAAGCAAAATAGTTAACTGACTCTTAGCCTGAGAAAAAATGTAAGACTTTAAAGGATAATTTATTTTTCCAGGACAYTTAATTTGTGTGTTTTCTTTTAGATCCTGTTGGAATTTGCAGGCCGTTGGAGGATAGAGGAAGAACCTTTACCTGTGGTTCAGGTGTACATCGTTGCTCTGTTGAGTTACGCTGAGGCTGCTCCATTCCTCTCCCTTCAGTGTGAAAACGTTTCTCTTGTAGTTGAGAGACTATCTCTGTGAGTAAACACCAAACGCCGTGTTCTTGTTTAAATTTCCACAAATCTGTAGCGTTWTGTAAAATCCATTTTGGTTGGCACTCTGGTGTAAAGGTAAACATAAATGTCTGTCTGTACTTTAACAGGAGCTTCCTAGAGCTTCTGCTCTCACTGGCGGATGTTCCAGATGATTTATGGAAACAAGTTAAGTCTTCTGTGCAGGTAAGATTCAAACAGTTACTTTAAAATGGAAATATAGATTGGCAGAACAAAATTAAAATATAACTTGGAATGAGAAAGCAACAAGAATATACCATCTGAAACTATTTCTAAAAGGAACTATACATTGAGAAGTAGAGTAGAGGTAGGACTTGACAATTTATCAAATTCATAGTTTTGATTTAAATGTTTTGCTCTAAATGATAATAAATGGTATAATTGTTAGTATTAAAAATAACTCACAATATTCCACCTTGCTCCTTTAACATCCTGTGGTAAGGGTGAGTTTTGTTGAGATAAAGCAACTACTTTGATAAGAATGTTTGATAAACAGTTCATGTYAATTTTTACCACAAAGCTAAACAAAAAGCTGTATCTTCAGTATTTTTTCAAGGATTCCTGTTTTATTTATTTTGAATCAGCTGGCAGGTGAGCTGCCTTTATTTTTCCTGAGAYTTTGGCTCTGTTGCTTGTCTTTGTTTCAGTGTAATCGACCTGTTCTGAGATAGCAGTTGTTCAATCCTAAACGTTTTAACAATGCATTCCTACACAACCCTGCTTCTGAAAAACCAAAGAGCAATTGCAATCACTGTCTTAAAAATATCTCATTTGTGTTTTTGCTTACTTTGCAATTAATAAATGTATTCAGTAGTTTTTAAAACAGAGCATTTTTGTTCGTGAGAATGAACAAGTGAATTAAAAGGTTAAAAAATCTGAATAAAATAGGAAGTATTTGAAGAGTGGTAAAATTGTACAGCAAGAAAAGGCAATAATCTTACATGCTTCACTTGGTTTTATGAGTAACTGATAAACAATAGACTGAGTCGACCAATATTATTCAGACAATATTGACCACTTTTTTAGAAAATCTGTAACTGGCCATGTTTCTGCATACTTATTGATTCCCGAGTATGTAAATGTAGATGTAGATGCAGCAGTAGCTGCTACAACCAGCTTATGGTATTCCACATTTTGCTTTATAATTTTTAAATGTACAAGTTGTTTTTGGGGGTTATTTGAACTAAGCAGTTATTGATATATTTTGCTTAATGAAAAACGTCTGACCAACTTAATTTACTGTAGAGTTCTAACAGCTGCCTCTGGTTGGCGTTTCATTATGTTCCTCTAAAATATTTCTTGTTGTGTATTTTTTTCCTTATTTTTTTCATTCATTCATTATTTTTCAAACTGTCAAATGCCCGAGTGTTGTAATCATTTTTYCTTTTGTGTAGTTTGCACACGAGAAACTTCAGGAGAATGGACTCTTGCAGCTCGCTCTGCTGTCTACTCTGGCTCAGAGTGACGGTGTTTGGACCAACAGAATCCTGCAGGGAGTTCTGCTCAACCAGGACCTACAGTCAGAACAAGGTAACATTTCATTGGAAGRGCTGGCTTTAAAAAATCCATTTTATCGATCTGGATCGATTTTCCTTCAAATTTGGGAAAATCAATTCATAAATCATGAGATCGATTTGTTTTCCCCATGGGTGTTGTGTGCGATGAAGCTGCGCGTTTCCGTGTTGTGTGTCACTCCTGACTTGACGTAGGTTGATGCCGGTCGGTGCTAATGTTGGCTCCCGACAACAAGTTGTCTGGGGCAAAACAAAAGAAACTAAGGAATCACTAACGTTACAGCTGACTCTCAGCTGAACTTAAAGATAACAGAGGCCAGGACAACTTCTGTTTGCTAAGATTTGTGCTCAGACGCGGTAACGGGAAACAACGTGGAGCGGCTCAAACCAAAACGACTGTGTGTAAACATCTGACTGAAACTGTTCTCCTCAGCGTGTATAAGTGTGTGAAAGACGTCAGTCTAACAAAATAGTTTAGTTTTGTTGCCAATGTTATTTTTAAATTTAAGAATTATCTTAATGTAATTCACAGTGATGGAATGTTTTAGCTGAAGTACTTTTTTCTTTCTTCTTGTTAAGTTTTATTGAACAGAAGCTAACAAACATTACAAATATACAGTTTTCTTACTCTCAAAAGAGTGGGCAGACGTAAACACTTATATTATCCCACATCTTCTCCTGTAACTTTATTCCATCACTTCTTAGTGATCAGGAAAATTATTCTTAGTTTCTTAAAAAACTAATGTATCCAACAACACTTTTTCTTGCAATTCCTTTTTAGTTTAAACCAGGAGTGTCAAACTCCTGTCCTCGAGGGCCGCTATCCTGCATGTTTTAGAGGTTTTCTTGCTCCAACACACCAGATTTTGATCGCTGGGTAATTAACAGGCTTCTGCCCAATTTGAAGAGTTAATTCAATCACTGAATCAGGTGTGTTGGAGCTGGAAAACCTCTAAAACATGCAGGATAGCGGCCCTCGAGGACTGGAGTTTGACACCCCTGGTTAAACCCTTTGAAACTTGAGACAGTTTTGTTTCAAGATTAAACTCCAATTTACAAGTTTTGCCCTTTCTGTTTATAATTTTACCAATGCACCAAGTTAGAATTAGTTCCTTTGAGAATGTCTTCTATATCAAATTAAATGTGTTACTGCGTGACATCCTTAACTAATTAAAAAATCAAACTGAATCGTGAATCGTCCTGAATCATTGTGAATCGAATCAAATCAATTTGGGAAATCTGAATCAATACCCAGCCCTACCTACCTATAGATAAAAATTATATTTAATAGTTTTTCAACAAACCAACTTTGCTCATTCTCTTAAACATACACATTAATCTGACATTTTTAACATCACTCTCTAGATTGGTCCATAATTTTATTCCTTGGATTGAAGTACACCGTTCCTTCAAACTGGTTTAAAATTGAGGTTTGACAAACATCTCTATCCCCTTGAGATTGTAACAACTCTCTCTTTTAAGGTTAAGTGTTGCAGCTATTAGTCTTAAGAGATATTTTTACAAAGTATTTGCATCTACAGGTATTAAGTTGACAGCTGCACCTTCTTAAAAAAAGTAAAAAAATCTGCTTTAAATAATAGTTGAAATTCTAAGTGTTTGTTTGTTTGTTTTCAGTGGAAGAGTTCCTGCTGCAGGAGGGTCCTGTCCTGTTGCAGATGAGAGTGAAGCAGTTGATGAAGGAAAAACAAATGGAGAAGGCTGCTTTTCTCTCAAAGGCCTGCTCTGAGTCATCTGGCCTCCAAGGGAAGGAAGCTTTCAGGCAGATGTACCTGGTGTGTCTTTGTGCTACTTCAGAACAGGATCAGCTCATGGAGAAGGTCAGTTCAACTGTATGTTATGGATATTAAACGGGTAATTTGTAGTACTAAAATGTGTGTCTAAAGTCAAAGTTTTTGTTTTACATTGTAAGATTTGTTGAAGTTTTAATATGTGCTGTATAAATGYTAATTATGTGCCATATGTTGCGTACTTGTTACTCAAACAAAAGCTGTTTTTTTTCTGTTTTATTTTAAATCAGAGCATAGTTTCTCCAAGTTAACTTCAGTTTAAATTTAAGAACACATGAAACATGTAAAGATCATAGTTGTAAAAACAATATGTACAGTACAGTAAATGTTTGTACTTGTGTCCAAAATTGAACAAACCAGAAAATCTTGAGTCTGGAAACAGTTGCCATTTTAAATCTGAAAAAGGTGTAGGACCTTGTATATTTATTTAACACGAAGTGTATCTGCTGTATTTATACAGTAATACACATTCTACTGTTTGAAATGAGAACTATAAAGATCAAGATAAAAGACACCATTTTATTTCAGAAACAAAGGGAAAATTAAATATTTGAATACATCAGCAAGTATTGGGTGAGGGGACCTATCTTTTAAAGCAGTGGTTCCCAAAGTTGGGGTCGGGACCCAAAGTGGGGTCCTGAAACATCAAGGTGGGGTCCTGAAAAGATTTTCCTGTATTAATTACATTTTGCCTTAGTTGCCTAAAATGTATAAATGTAGAATGATAAATATTGTTACTATGCCCATGTTTAGTTGACCTGATACAAATGTTCATCATCCAAACATAGTTGTGGGCACAGGTCTCTGCTACAGTTATTTTGTGGGTCAAAAGCTGAAAAGTTTGGGAACCACTGCACTTCAG